GGGGGGGGGGGCACCATTTGACTTCCTAAAAGCACCGTCTGCACTCCACATCCTCATGGCCCCCACTGTCAGATTCTTAAGTGCCTGTCAGTCTGGTGGGCGTGAAACGGGGTCTCCTTGTCCTTTTGTTTGCATTTCCCTGACAGCTGGTGAGACAAGGTTTCTTGGTCACTCGCATTCCCCGTGGCGCTGGAGTTGGGGGGTGGGGCTCACCTTCCCAAACCCGCAGGACCGTGGTCCTGCAGAGGTCCTGGCCCGGGGCACACTCTTCCACCTGGCAATTCCCGGCCCTGTCACACCGCATGCACCGCAGGCCCCAGGTGGCTGGGGGGAGAGGGAGGAGACAAGAGGAGAGTTTATTATAGCTCAGCGCCAGGATCCCTCCTCCGGCCCCATGATGTCCCAGTACCAGGACCAAGTCTCCAAGCCCTGTGCACTCAGGTTCATGCCCCACGTGCTGCCAGCCCCGGGGCTCGTACGCTGGGTTCAGGCCAGCTGCACCTCCAGTTTATCTCTCGCTCCAGCAATGCTCTATCTCCGCTCGCCTTTCCGAAGAGTCTATCCCCGCCCACAGGTCCTGCCCTAAAGTCCTGCCCTCGCTCATTCCCCTTGAAATCTGCCCGCGTGCAGGTCCGGTCCTCAAAGTCCCATCTCCACCCTCTCTGCCCATCCGGACGGTCATGCTCTGCTCCCCCATCCCGCCGACCCTCGGTCTAGGCCGCCCGCTCTCCTGGGGGCGTTCCATCCTCACTCGACTCCGGCGGAGCTTCACGTCCTACCCCTGTCCCCCTGCCCTTTACTAACTATACCCCCCGCCCCCTAACTTCCCCAGGCTCTACTCGCTCCAAAGCCGGGCGCCAAAGTTCTCGCCCGCCCGTCAGTCCGCTACTGTGTCCTAACCCCGCCCATCAGCCCTCCGATTCTAACCGCAACCACCCAGCAGCGCGCTCCGCAGCCACCGGGCGGTTCTCTGCTCGCCCATTGGCTCCCGAGGTTCTCTCCCCGCCCACTGGCTCTTCCCGCGGGTCTCTCCCCTCCCTGAGGTTATAAAGCCACAGACTAGCTCGGCTCCACCGCCTATTCCCGGCCCTCCAGGCCTCCCCCGGGGGTGGGGGGAGGAGGGGGGTGTCCCTGCCCGCGGCCCCCAAATTCGGAGTCCTCCAAAATCATTACTCATTCTTGGTGTCTAACGGCTGGGAACGCTTTCCGGTTTATTCATTGCCGAAATACTCTTTCACTGCAAACCACCCCTTCCCATCCCGCCCTGACTCAGTTCCTTCTGTTTCCTTTAGTTTTGTCAACAATTTCCCTACATTTTCCGGGGAAAGCAGGTGACGGGGTCCTCGAGAGACAAGCCCTCAGTCTCCAGCCCATGCTTCTCTTCGGACCTTGTGTAAAATGCGCCGTCCTCCCCGTGCTGGGGGTGGAGTGGGGTGGCTGACCGAGTGGAGGGAGCAATGGGACCGAGGGGGTGGCTGACCGAGTGGAGGGAGCAATGGGACGCCCCTGCGGGGGTGAGTCCCACGTATTCAAGAACTGTGACTTCGGACCAGTTACTGAACCTCTCTGTGCCTCAGTTCCCTTCTGTGTAAAACGGGGTTAAAAAGATAGCCCTGCCCTCCCAATTCTAAACTGCCAGTAAGGAGCTCAGAAGAGGTCCTGGGACCAAGAGCGCACTCACTAAACGGCGGCAGCGGTAAAATGCCTTCGCTCAACTAGTATTTCCTGAATACCCACTGTGTGCTAGGTGCCGCGCCATGTGGGGCTGCAGAGAGCAGGGCTGTTACCGTGTCTGAGTGGAGGGGCTGGGGCACTGAGCTCCCCTCTCCCCCTCCAACTCGCCAGACCCCGAGTCCCCCCCTCTCGCGTCCCC